CCCCCCCCCCCTTTCTTCATTCACAGCTGCACAAGCGTACCGGCAGAGAAGCTCAGATGCCAAATGGCTTACTGTAACAGCGTGGACTTGGACCAAACCCTCTAACACTCTCAGGTGTCACCGTGTCCCTTCAGCCAGCAAACAGGACTGCACAGTATTTGAACTTCAGACTGTAGCAGACACGCACATGAGTTCAAACATTACCATATGCACATACATATGTGGTGAGTAAGGGGTTTTTTAGGCCACGAATGAATGGCAACGCCTGTAAAACTACCTACAAACTCGCTGCAGTGCTGCAATAAAATATAAGTCCAGCATTTGCAGTTTAACTGGAAGTAAAATGTTAAAGGGAAGAGCGGAATTCTTTTTTGTGTGTGTGTCATTTAAAAGCCTCGTGTTTTCATTAAGATCTGCCGACACAAGAAAGCCAAAGACACAAACGTCAAAAGGAAATGCAAACAAAGAAAAGCAACCAGGCAAGAAGGAAGGAAGATTTTAAGAAATGATTAAGAAGAAGGAAACATTTCTGACAAAAACAAAACTCTAACTATGAGGCTTTTCTAAGCAATCTATCAAAGCCTTCTTCTGCAGTGGAACATGTGACAGACTTGTTAGCCAGCAGTTCCTTATTTACACATCGGTTATCAAGCAACATTATCAGTAATTTGTTGTAGTTAAGGCCACTTTTAGCTTGTGTTTTTGGTCTTTACAAAATCCAGAAAGAAGTGATGCAGCTCTTTCTTTTTCCTCCTAACAATCATTTTTATTTAAAGAAATACTTTAAAAAAAACTTTAATAAAAAGTCCAAGTTTAAGGACAATGATGTATTTGTTTTCCTATTAGTGTAGTAGAGCCTCTGTACATGGTCACAATGGATTTTAAATCAAATAGCTAAGGTGTAATTGAAGATTTTAGCTTTTTATAAATAGCCCCCCATTTTCAGAGGCTCAAAATTAACTGAATATCTGCCTGACAACCAGTTTCATGGTCAGGTAAGTCCTGTTTGCTTTATTTCCATAAAATAAGTGTTGAACAACGTCTCTCAATATAAGGTCCAAATACATGTCAAAAAAAGCTGAAAAAACTAAATGAACATATCAGAAAGGTATTAAAAAACGTTAGGAGTGGTTAAATCAGTAATTTAACCATTTACTTTCGTAGATCTTTAAAACGAATGAATGCACTGACCAGCTCAGTAACATCAAAAGGCCTGAAAAGACCAAAGAAACTACAGTGGATGATCACAGAATTATTTCCATGGTTAACAAAAATACCTTCACAACACAGAGTCAAGAACACTCTGGAGGTTCCTGGTTCTTCTCGAGGAACTAGGCATTGAAATCTACAATCAGAAGAAGCTTTTCTGAATGTAAATACAAAAGGGTTTACAACAAGGTGCAAACCACTGGGTACATTTAAAAACCAGAAGGTCAGATTTGACTTTTCCAGAAAACATCTAAAAGAGGCTGCACTGCTCTGAAAACAATTCTGTGAAAGCAAGATGAACTTGTTATATATTGATGGGAAGAGAAAATTGTGAAAAGGAAACAGATTATGATCTGAAGCATACCACATCGTCAGTCAAACATGGTGGAGGCAATGTTATAGTACAGGTGTGTATGGCTGGAATTAATGGAATCAGGAATCAAGTCATACAGGGCGTAAAGTTTCATCTACATGTTTATCTCCTGTCTTGGTTAGTTTTCCTTTCTTTGTGATTGTACACCTCCCCCTCACCCGTGTTGTTCCTTAAACTTGTTTACAATTACCCAATAACCTTCGCCTGTACCGATACGTCCTGCCATGCACTCCTCAGTTACCAGTTTGTTTTGTATTTCTTGCATTTCAAGCATTAAATGTGAGCATTGCAGTTTGTGGGATTCCTCATGTTCTCTCATGGTGTTATTATTGATCTCCTTGTACGTGTGACTTTTTTTGGGTTGTACTTGGATTTTTGCCTTACGCCTGCCCCTTACCGGATTTGTTTGCTCCACTGACTGATCACTCTGTCAATGACCTTGTGTTGTTTTCTGATTAGATTTGGATTCACTTTGCCTCTCTGTGTCACGTTGTGAAATTCCCCCCCTCAAAAAATAAGTGACATTCATTAAAATTTCATTTTTTTAAGCGTTTCCTTCTGGACGCGAACAAAAAATAAACGTCTTTGGCTCTATTTTGATCTCTTCCCAAACATTTTTCATTACATCGATTTTAACGTGGCTAAAGTTTCACATGTTTGCACCAGCTGTCAGTCTGACCCACGTGTTCACATACTGAGTCTCAATCATCTGCCTAGAGTTAGATCTTCCTATGCTTTTAGCTTATGGCACAAAAACCT